AGTTAAATAACAGGGTAGACTGAGGTCTATAGCCTTATGTGGCAACCAGTCTAGGGGAAAGAAAACCTTGAATTCCCAAATACGGACAAGGCAAAAAGAAAGCACTCACCCCCACCTACCCCCTCTCTCTCTCTCTCTCTCTCTCTCTCTCTCTCTCTCTGAATATTCGATAATTCTTGTTAGAAAAATATGCTCCATCCGGCAGGATGCGAACCTGCGTCCCTTATGTGAAACCGTCATTAGATCTCAAATGCCTTGATCTGTCGAAAGAACCTCCTAATCAAAGCATATTTTTCTAACCAGCCTTCTCGAATATTCAGTTTAGGCCGGTAGATGGATATATATATATATATATATATATATATAATCGACTCACCCGTCGAGATTCGACGTATGAGGGTCAAGCAGATCAGTTTCCAGGAAACCGGCAGCCCGACACCGGCACATGAGATTTGATTATAGTGGTGAAGGCCTCGTGCAGGACCATCCACACTTTTTGAAGGGCTGAATACAGAGACCTGGTGCACCGAATGCCACAAGGTTCCCAAACGACCCTCCACAGGTTTTGAATTCAGAGTTGTCCTTCTCCTAGACCAGTTGCCATCCAAGGCTATAAAACCCAGTCTGTCCTGCTATTTTACCCCATAGCTGGAGGGAGAAGAAGAGGATTCATACCTTTCCCAAGGGTATTAGCACGTAAGTCAATGTAATGGATTCGACTGGAATTCGAACTCCGCTCTGCGATTCCTCAATCCAAGCCGCTATCCATTACTCCACTGTGCCTATATATATGTGGTGTAACAGCAAAATTGTCCAAATCATGTAACAGCATGGAATAATTTTTCATCCAACAAAATGTTTAATACCTAAAAAAAACTCTAAACTTATTACGTTTCCTTTTCCCAGGTTTAGATGCCTTGATACCATTTGTCGTAAGAATCACTGAAAAAGCCTTTTGAGTTATTCAGCTAGAAAGAGAACAGGTTCAAATCGTTTTGTGTCAGTGCCACTATATCTTCCCAATGGTGAGAGGAAAAAGATCATTCAGGTCTTCAGTAATGGTACCAACATTCATACTCTGGCTTCCATCTTCAAAGTCTATTGAAGAACCATCAAGAGAATGGTGAATGAGTTTAAAAAAGTCGGAACAGTAGTAAGGAAAACTGGATCGGCAGGTCAAAACAGCAAGAGGGGTCATCGTTTCAACTCAGAGCTAAATAAATTCTTATTGTTCAAAGTAGAGTCATTAGATTGTTATATTAGATAGGTGCAAAAATAATGACGTAATAATGTCGTTTTTTGACGTGAAAAAAACGAAAAACATTATTACCCCGTCATTATTTTCAACCAACCTAATAAAAACCTCGAAGAATTCAGTAAGATATCTTTAATCATTTTTAAGATACAGAGGTTTAAAGCCTAATCTAATTGGACAATTTTGCTTTACATCCGGTATATATATATATATATATAGAGAGAGAGAGAGAGAGACAGAGAGAGGGAGGGGGAGGGAGGGAGGGAGAGGTGGGTATGGTGATATAACTATACTAGAAACACCCTTGTTTCTCCTGCCCGGCCATAGAAACATTATTGAAGAGAGGTTCAAGCCATCACAATTGTCATTAATCTCTTCCCGTTCTTATTCCCGTCCCGACTTCAAACCCACTTCTTCTTCCCAAGTGAGAAATGGCGAAAGTGTGAAAGGTTGCCTTGGCAGATGGGACAAGGTAAAAGAGCAGAAGGGAGAGGAACAAATAAAAGACCAACGCGAAGGGGTGCGGAAAGAGGCAAAAGGGGAAGAAAAGAAAAAAGAGGGACAAAGAAGAATAAAGAAAATGAAGAAAGGAGGAAGGAAAGTGTACGAGCAGCCAACTTGTTAAAAAGCTGATGGATTGTTTCGTTAAGTGCCCTGGACGCTATACGAGCTTCGAAGGGCAGGGGACCATTGTGTTAGGCCATCTGACTGTGACATGCTACCCTTATGACTCCTTAATGACAACTGCAGCGCCACCTGTGGACACTTAAGAGTTCGTAGTGTCTATTTTTTTCTTGCCTTAAAAGTTTATTTCAAGGCGAAATCTGTGGATTACAGACAAATAGTTACTCTGGCAATGAACCCTTTTAATTGCTTCGAGATATAAAAGATAAATACGGCTGTGCATTCACCTCTGTGTGTGTGTGTGTGTGTGTGTGTGTGTGTGTGTGTGTGTGTGTGTGTGTGTGTGTGTGTGTGTGTGCACGCGCGCGCGCGTGTGTGTGTGTGTTAAAATGCCTTAATGTAGCTTGTGTCTTTTCTATAAATATTTTCATGATAATTGTTCTGATGAACTCTTCGCTATGGTACCTAGACTTTTTTTTTAATTTAAGCGCAGATTGACGGCAAAGTCTCACCAAATTACAGCTGAATTGGCTAGATGTAACCGCAAGTTCTATGCTAACAGTTTATTTTCTCGCACTTCTTGTTACAGTTTTTTGTGTATATGTATGTATATATATGACTAGTGAGTTGGTCCAAATGCCTTGACTCGCTTTACAGTCTACCAATAGAAGGTTAACCAATCAGAAGCCGCAGAACATTCTATCCGTCGTGTATAAAGGCGGCCATTTTTGTTTACCCTACCCGAATGACCATTGCCAACTTGTCAGACGAAGATGACAGAAGGAAGAACTACGCTCTGCTACTTTGCTGCGATATCCACTGCTAACATGAACTACGCTTTCCTACTGTCTCCGAAATATTCACTGCTAACCTCTGGATTCTATACTCGAAGACGACCGTCATAAAATGTCTAACACTTCTCGCTTGTTAAACTCACTTGCGGCTTCATGCTTTCCAATCCAACTTTAATCTTCAAAAATTTAAATGCAATTTCAATCGTTATCTACTGTCTTCCTGATTACTCTTCTATTGTTCTCGCTCCTTAATAACGTTTCTTTTTTTCTTTTGTCATAAATTGTACCTATTACCCCTTACTCTTTATTTTATTCTTCTTTCGCACTAAATAACCTTTGAGTTTTAGTGGCGTTACTACTGCCTTGCATGGGGTGATATGATTAAAAGAAAAAAGTATTTATCCAGACGACCAGTATAACAATACACGAGCCATCGCTTAAGATGCTAGCAAAAAAATTGTCGGCTCCCTGTACCTGACTCCTCCTGTTATCCAAGGATCAAATCACGCCGAAAATGGAGTATTACTGTCATAAAGCCTTCACTTTCCTGTCTCGAAATAGTTCAAAGATATCCACCCGTCCCTGTGGGTGATGAATTATTTTTCTATCCTACAACTCCTTTCACACAGACAAAACGTTGCAAGCCTCGATCGTTATTTCCGTGGAAAGAGTTCACACGAACTAAATTATTTAGCTCCAGCAGTTCTAACCTTCTGTTGTCGAGTAGTTTTTCACAGTGGAGGCTTTTATTTCACTAAGTCGGTTCTAAATTAGGTTCGACGTACAAAACGTTCGGAACTTGAAATAATAGTTAATGACGCAGCAATCTAGTTGTGGTGGTTGATACTTTAATGTCCGACATCGACTGACTCACCAACTCACTCAACTCACTGACGACTGCTACTACTACTACTTATTATCTGTGGGAGAGTCTATTTACAATAGAATAGGTATGTTCCGGTATAACACGCCCATTGTAGCGAACCACCCTCATTCCTTTTGCATTCCATTGGTGAGATGCAAGTTCCACTTGAGCAACTTTTTTCCATGAAATGCTGTTTTGTGAAGCCGACACCCAAAAGGATGTTTCCCCAATCATTAAAATCTTAACCTGTTCAAGGTTAGGTTTACCGGTTATCCTCATAAAATATACCTATTACCGCTTACTCTGTAACTCTCTATCTTGAGTCGTTCTTGGACATTGTATAGGCCGAACATTATTTTTCTTTAAAAAAAAAGGGGGGGTTGCAGAGGCTGTTTCGTGTGACGTGACCAAAACATGACATCTTCTGACGCTTAATAATGGCGAAGAGAGGTTCCTGTCGGCTCACAAGACTTTTGACCTTGCTCCGTACAGAGACATTGGTTTTATGCTTCCAGTGGGAAATCCGGAGGAGCTTTCTCAAGCATTTATTCTCGATCATTTTCCTGAATCAGTCAAAAGTGTCCAAGTGTCACACCCGCAGAGGAGGATGGATGCAAACAGCGATTTTGTAGAGTTTGAACTTGGTATGGAAGCTGATGTTGATCGTTCATATTTTTCCAGTCTGGCCATCGCTGTTGTGATCGCCACAGTGAAAATGGCAAAATGGCGATTGCTAAATATCGATAACGAAATAGCAACTGCGAAATGACGATTGCTATAATGGATTCCGACACAGTGTAGCAGTCGCCATTTCATAGCCACCGTTTCAAGAATTTATGCTTTTTTTTCACAGTAGTCGGAGAATATATATACTTTTTTATGCCGTGTCTCTTTAGAACATAAACGATTATGGATCTCCAGAGACTACTTTTCTTTATTATCTGTGAATTCCCCTGACTTCTTGGAAAAGATAGTGTCGTGGTTTCCCGTTGACTCCTTCATAGATTCCTTTTCTTTATTATCTGTGAATTGCCATGACTTCTTGGGAAAAAGTTGCTTTCTGTTGCTTTCTCCACAGATTCCTTTTCTTTATTATCTGTAAACTGCCATGACATCTTCGTAGAATAATGAAGTGATTTCCTTTTGTTTTTCCCTATAGTTTAGAATTCCAGAAATCCCAGTCTACTCTGGTATTTAACCCTAATTTTTGTAGGGAAGATATGCCTTCATTCCTTTCCCAAGGGCATCAGGATGAAAGTGAATACAATGAGGCCGGAATTTGAACTCAGTTCTTTAATTTTATTTTGCGTCCCGATAACCGTTATATTTGTCACATATACACAGAGTTTAGAGGTTTGTAAATGCTTTTTTCCTTTCATTCCTAGTCACTTTCTTTCTCTTTCAAGGAGTGCCTCATATTAGACTCACGTATTTTTACTAATAGGTGACAATATTTCAGACTTACGGCTACATCAAATTGAAATAACAGTTCCCATACGATCACCGAAGTTAAGCAACGTCGAGCCTGGTTAGTACCTGGTGACCTCTTGGGAATACCAGGTGCCGGAAGTTTCGCTGTGCGGTTGTTGTAACGGATAATGTCTCGGAATTGTTAATAGAAGAGTCGAGTTCCAATTCCATTTGAATTGTTATATTCATTTACGCGCAAATACCCTTGGGAAAGGTAGGAAGCCACCTCTTCTCTCCCAGCTATGGGTTAATTAGTAAAACTTATATCACTGAAAAAAATATTACTATATAAAAAAAAAAAAAATTGCGTACAAAATATTTAGATTTCAGCATTGAATAATCCATGAAGGTCTTGATAGTGATTTTCCAAGCGTAGCTTGAATGTGGCACAAAGCCAAAAGTAAGGGGCACCCAATGAGGATTAAACTCCCTACTCAGTCGTAATTGTTCTAGCGAGGCAAGCTTGCTAACGATTGCGCCACCTCGAGGTGCCCAAATATTGATTTTCTAAGCGTAGCTTACATGTGGCACAAAGCTGAAGACATGAGGCACCCAATTAGGTTCGAACTCACTACTCAGTCGTAATTGTTTTAAACGAGACAAGCTTGCTAACCATTACGCCACGCCGAGGAGGTGATATGTCGCTAAACAAAAGAAAAACAGCCACATTGTTTTAATTCAAAATCCCTGTTTAATCCATTAATACACACTATCCAAAAATTGGGAGAGTGAATTTTAATTGGTTTTCCTCTGATGTGCCGTGTCCCTTCAGGACATGGTCGATCATGATTCTCCACAATTTCCAATCCATGGAAGCTCTGATAAATATTGGTCTTTTTGCCATCACTCCTACCGACGGTCAGCCATCGGTTCATCGAAGCTCGTCGGGTAAGTGACCCGCTGCGTCCCCTTGTCCTTTTGGCCTTTGATATGCCCTGTTAGTGTCAGATTCTTATATTTACTCATTATGTGTCCAAGTAATTCCCGTTGTCTCTTTCTTATTCGTGTCCTTTTTCTTTTTATTTTCTTTAAAATTTTTACGCGTTCCGTCCATGGAATTCTCAGCATCCTTCTGTAGAACCACATGTCTCTTGCTTCCAATCTTCTCTTCATCTGTAGAGAAATTGTTCAGCATTCGCTACCGTATAGGGGGACTTATATCTCGCTTTTCTTTGTTTCTAACAAAATATCCTTTCTTAGTAACTTGCTTAGTTTTCGGAAGGTATTTTTGCTTTTCCAATGCGCCTGTCATATTTTCCATCCTCGGTTAAAACCTTTTCCAAATATTTACATTTCTACACTTGTTTGGCGTTGACATCTCCAATTTGGAGTTTGCATCTTAGGCTTTTTCTCTTGCTAACAACAATGCATTCCGTCTTCCAATAATTGATGGTTAGTCCTTTCTTCTCGCTTTCCTTTACTACCTTGACCAGGAAGTCCTATAGTTTTCCTTTTGTGTCTGCCATCAACCCATTGTCATTTGTGTATCTTACATTTTTAAGATTGTGCACACCAATATTAAACCCTGGTAAGGTCTTTACCTTGCTTAGAATAGCCTAGCTGGAAAAATATAATTAATTGGGTTATTTTAAGAAACCTATTATTAATACAGATTGTTAAAAACAAAAACATAATTAATACTGGATGTTTTAAGAAACCTATAATTAAAACGGGATATTTCAAGATATCTATTATTAATAGACAATGTTTTAAGAAACCTATGATTAATACAGGATGTTTTAACCCTAGAACACTAACCATCAATTAAAGTTACACCACTACTAACCATGGGTATATCATACCCGATTTTGAAAATATCAAAAAAAATATTAAATATAAATCTTTATTTGAAATATTTTACATGCAGGCACTTCAAACTTTGTACTTTGAGTTAACATTCATAGGAACGGAAAAACGTATTATTTAGGTGAGAAAATCAGGTACTGAAAATTGTAATTAAAAATAGGAAAATTTGCGCTGGGTACTATATACCCATGGTTAGTGTTCTAGGGTTAAGACACCTATTATCAATGCGATATGTTTTTCGAAACCTATAATAACACAGGTTTTTCGAAAACTAATATTAAAACTAGATTTTTTAAAATCCTGTAATTAATACTGGATTTGTATTTTAATTTTTATACCACATTTTCATATTTACTTTTAGGATTAATACCAGGTCTTGTGGTAAGTATGGATGGATTAAACTGTATCCACTTAATCTGGTAAACTCTCATATATGTCCACTATATAGGTGTCGATGTACCTTAAAATCATTCATTTATTCATACAGATGAAAAATTATATAACGGCCAAAAGCAAAGTTTTCATTCTATTTCATTCTCATTAAGCAAAAATATTGGCCATCCCTTCCATTCCCAACCACTGACTATTGCGACTGGCCATATTTAAACATAGGTGACAACCTTCAGAGAAACAATTCTTAAACTGTCGCCTGCATCAATCTTCCCACAAGCACACCATTCTCAACTAGTCGTTCCGCCTCCATTATATGAGTTAGGATCACTTCCGGTCAGTGGCCAACATTCTTTGACGGTCTTCTTCCTTCATATTGATCTTGATACTATTTCCAGAAAAGCCGCGCATGTCCGGAAGTGACCTCGTACTCACAATCCATGCTCTCGAATAAAGAATGTAATTAAATGATCAGTTTACGGTCAAGCCCTGGTAAAATGAAGATGTGGTCGGACTAATCGCTTGCCTTATTAGAAACGACACTACAGAACCCCCCGTACTGAAAGGCAGACACGGTTTACACTGAACATTTATTAAGGTGTAATGCGATTAGCGAAACGCCATTGGAAAGCATTAATTTCCATTTGGAAAATTTGGAATCGCTATCTTCTACCATTCCCCAGGCCTTAGGTAAGTTTTGCAGAGAGAGGCCAAGAACACAGACAGACGAATAAGTCCACGCGTAAGAATTCACACACAATTTCTTAATAGTTCGTCAACACCTCTCTCACTCTCTCTCTCTCTCTCTCTCTCTCTCTCTGTCAATATATTTAATTACAACTTCTGCCACTCTCTTATCTACTTCTATCTCTCTTTTCTTACTCTAACTAATTTGTAATTCTATACACATTTCTCTCCCCCCTCTCTCCCCTATATATATATATATATATATATATATATATATATATATATATATATATATATATATATATATATATATATATATTATATAAGTCAACACTCAGTCAACACTCCAGACAGGCTGTTTCATGCTAGACGCAATCGTCTCTCTCTCTCTATATATATATATAGATAGATAGATAGATGTATATATATATATATATATATATATATATATATATATATATATATATATATATATATATATTAATGTATATTTGAGCAGCAACCTTTCTTTTAAAAGTCTTTCGTTAAATATGACGAACAAGGAAAATTTTATTGATTTTTTATTTCGTTTTTCCAGCGTTCTTTCATTTTTACATTTAGTGGGAGTGAGCGAGCACAAGAACTGTCTATGTCGTCGATTGACCCAAGCGCTGTCGGACACTTCATTAGCCATTTTCAATGGGGTTTTGTTTTAGTGTTGTTACTTTCTTTTCATGACTTTTTTGTGTGGTTTTTGAATACTACACAAATAATACATCACAGAGTCAAAACATGGAAAGTAACTAACACGATTACAGCTAGCTATTTCAACAGTGAAATGACCAGGCCTAATTGCTTAAATTCATGAGATCGAGGTACGAAAGAGGGAAGCGAATTAGAACAATTGCCTTGAAAATATTTATAAGAAAAATACACAGGAAAGCCACGTTACGATGGTGGAAAAATGACTGAAGCCGAGTTGCCAGGTTAGGGCCGATAAGTTTATAGATACTTCTTTGAATTTTCTTTCAAGAATCTCGTGATATATAGCAGGAGCAACAGACCAGATCTAGCAGTAATATTTAATGCACAAACAAACAGTAGATTAATAAACGTGCAGTATGGATTCTGGAGAGAAAAAAACTTTCTTAAACGGCAAACCTAAAAATAAATTCAATATAATCGTTCCACTTAATGTCAGTGGAAAACGTTAGATCGAAAGGTGAAATGAGTTACTCCTCGGGAGGCTGGCATCAGCCAAGTTAGTGGGAGGCAAAAATGGTTCTCTCAGATGACTAAAAAGCAGCAATTTCCTTTTAAGGAGAGTTAAAATTTACAGGCCATTTCATGTCCCAGTTAACAGATTGAAGGTCACTTTCGAGATCAACTGACAGTTTTATTTTATCGACCCTATTGAACTATTTAGAGTAGTGGTTTTCAACCAGGGTTCCGCGGAACCCTAGCCAGTAAAGCCCAAAGGTTCTGCAAGAAATTACACAAGTACTATGATTGACAGTAATTTTTAATTCTCCTGTGCAGATATGCGTGTTTAGGTACCTCCACTAAATCAATAACAAAACAGCATTGTATGAATAAAAAAAAAGATCCCAAACTTAATAAAACAAACTTTTTCCATCAAAATGTTTATATTTTTTTTAAGAGGAAAGATCAAAGTAATTTTTAATTATTTTAAAAAAAATTTTAATCCCTTCGAACATTTTCAAAATTTTATCAGAAAATTTTATTTTGATTTGAGTTTGTGGTTAAACAAACGTTACGACTGTTTTACAATGGAAAACGTAAAAATTATATCACCCACTTTTTTTCGGTGACAAACACATTAATTTGGAAATTCTCGCAAAAATCAAATAATTGTCGGATTTTAATGAAACTTTCAGGACTTATTCACAAATAAATGAAATTATTTTTAAAACTATTATTATAATAACCGTAGAAGCAAGATTAAAATTACATATATACGTATACAATATCTTTACAGTTTGTCTTTGTATTTTTTTGTAAATAAATCTGAAGATGAGTTTTTTTATCTTATTTTAATAATTGAAAGCTTTTTTTTGCATAAGACAATTAATTTATTGCAGGGGTTCCTCGAGCCACTGGAATATGTCCTTGTAGTTCCGCTCCAGCAAAAAGGTTGAAAACCACTGATTTAGAGCAATATTCCTCTTGCCATGGGAATGTCTTTGAGGGTCAAATTCTCCAAGAACTTTATTAT